TAAATGGATACTCCACTTTTTTGGAAATAGGCTCATTTTACAACTCTTCCAGAGTTAAACTGTTGAGTTTTACCGTTTTTGAATGCATTCAGCTGATTTTCGAGCCCGTTCTCATCCCAAAGCGCCATATAAGACGCTTTTGCAAAAGCGTAAATATCCAACGCACATGGCACTCTTTAACGTGAAATGAGACGCAGATATATTTGGGCAGAAGGCGCCCCCTAGTGGTCTAACCCTTACCCTACACCATACCTAAACTTAACCATTAACCGAAGCGTCTCATTAGACGTTAAAGGGTGCCATGTGCGTTGGATATTTACGCTTTTGCAAAAGCGTCCTATATGGCGCTTTGGGATGAGAACGCATTGGATTTTCTGATATTTAGAAAAATATCAATAACCAGATGGTTTCTGGTCTCATTGACTTCCATAGTAGGAAAAAAAATATATACTATGGAAGTCAGTGAGACCAGAAACTGTCTGGTTACTGATATTCTTCTAAATATAAGAAAATCAGCTGAATAGGATTCGAAAACGGTAAAACTCAACTTTTTAACTTGGGGAGTTGTAAAATGAGCCTATTTCCAAAAAAAAAGTGGAGTATGCCTTTAAATACTGACAAATGCAGCATTCACTTGAATGAATCACAATCATCATCTTCAACCTAGCGTATTTTCTTCTTGTCGAATCATCGCTTGGGTGTAATTTGGCGATCTTCATAATATCCGGTTGGATCGTATCCTGTCATCTTTACAACAGTTGTCCACATGGGTGTTTGCCATCCAACATAAAGTGGCCGGTGCCTTGCGCTGCTCATAGGACGTGCCCATGCAATGCGCAATGCCCTTTTGGCACCGAATTGTATCATTACAGCAGCGGTCAACGAGTGACACACCAGCAATCCAGCACAGCGTGCCAGCATCAACTTGAATCACAATGAGTGAATTAATTCAGATTGTCAAACTAGGCTATCCCAAATAAATCCTTTACAATTTGCATGAAAGAGTTCATTTCCAAAGGATCATGAGACACTGAAGACTGCAGTAAAGGCTGCTGAAAATTCAGCTTTGCCATCACATGAGTAAATTACATTTTGAAATATTGAAATGAAAACAGTTGTTTTAAATGAACAAGTAACTATATAGACCAATTTTACTGTATTTTTATCAAATAAATGCAGCGTTTGTGAGCATAAGAGACAAAAACATGAAAAAAACTAAATCTTACCACTGATATAAGGCTAAAAAAGAAACATCCATGATGTAATAGTATATCAAACTGTTATCCCTGATAATGATCTATTCTAATGAGAAGACACTCTTACTAATGTCATTGCTCTGAGTTCAGCTCCACTGCTTTACATTAAGCCTGATCCTCAAGCATAATAATCCTGTCTTGCTCTTAAAATATAAAACACACAAACTGCCAAAGTCATTTGAAAAAAAAAAAAGGAAAAAAAAAACTTAATTAAGTTCATCTGTGCAAACATTAGCCTTGTAAGAGGCTAAAGAGAAGGAAGGAAGGAATGAAAGAAAGTGTATGTATGAGAGAGAAATTCTATGGATGGAGAGAGATCGGAGGAAGGTTAATGAAGGAGGGCGAAGTTGTGTTTGCTTAGACCTTTGCGACAAAGACGGAGGAGGGGGGCAAAGGATATCTTTCACGGAGAACCGCACACACGTCCCTCGGTTTTACCCGAAGTACTGCACAAACAGGATCCAAATGACAAGGTGACACTGGGAATACACTACTACATGACCGCCGCTGGAATTGCCTTCATCCGTTTAAGATGACTGCAGCCACTGTGGACACTGTCGCACCATTAGAGAGATCTGGAGAATAAGCCACGGAGATAGCAGAGATTATCACGGCCTGTGTGTTCAAAGCCCTCCCAAGGGCACAATGACAAGCCACACCGCTGAGACTACAACAGGAAGAAATCTGATGATGCATTATTAAACTGCTCATCGTTATGTTACTGCTGTTCCTAAATTGTGCAACATTTAAAGGAGTAGTTCACACAAAAATGAAAACCTTGTCATCATTTACTCAGTCTGATGTAAGTGAAATGTTCCTGCTTCTTTTACTTGCCAAAAAAAAAAAAAGAAAAAAGATGAGGATCAAGACCTGTCAAATTCAAACTAAAAAAATAAATAAATAATAAAAAAAATACCTCTACACTCTATGATTTGTGAAATGAAATTTTTATTTTTTTAAATATTTTTTATTTATTTTAAAAATTAAAAAAAAATAATAATAATTTTTTAATAAATATTTTAAAAAAAATATTGTTTTATTTTATTTTTATTGGGGAACTGTCCCTACTGCGGATTTAATATTTAAATTTTGATGAGTTCAACATCATTCTCATTCTGCTTATTTGTTTGCGTTACCTGTCCATGTGGTCTTTGGTCCACCTAAAGTAAAATGTATATTGCGTTACAATCTGCTCCCTCTCTCTCTTTGTTAAGGTAACATAAATTAATGAACGGATGAATGCTATATTTATGTAAGAAAAGTTTTATGTGGGCAGTTTAACACTTTAATTAGTCTCAACCATAAAATAAGGAGCAGAAGTCTTTTCAGTGTGTGACGTGCCAGGAAAAACCTTTTCAGTTTTTCTTCAAATTAACATTAAATAACATTCAATGTAAGTGTCAAAAAGGTCAACAGCCGCTAGGCATTGTACATGTGTTCTTAAAGGTTTTTGCTGTGGACCCAGTTCGGTTCATTTGGGCCCCGGGTCCACATGAAAAGGTGTTCTGTGGTATGGTTCTCGTTTAATACAGCTCACAATTGAAGGAAAAAAAAAGCATTGCAGTGCATTTAAGGTATGTGTTTTATCATTTCATGTGCTTCCAAGGAATCAAAACAATGACCTTTGCGTTGCCAGTTGAGCTGCACTGTAGCAGCACATAACATATGTTGTAATATGCTAACAGGAAGAAAGCTTTGACTGGATGTTTTGAGGGCCCAGCAGAGCATGTGATGTACCCTGTTTGACAGCCCAAAGCTCCTTTTATGGGTTTTGGCCATTTTGGCTGTTGTGAGACAGTTAAGATGATATGTTATGTCTCCCGGCAGATCCACCTTTGGCTGAGTGAGATCTGAGCTAGCCAGGACCACACGGGAGATGACATTTCCATGTCTGTTTAGATAGAGGTGTGGTAGACACATGTCTCTCTACCTGATCGAACTGATAGACAGAAATATATTCATGACTCTCTGCCCTGCTGTTTTCTCTAACAGAATTTGATTTCTACAGCCCTCCAATTAAGAAATGATTACATATTTATTTGGAACCCCCCCTGACAAATATGATTATTTAATTTCGCTGATGAATATATTAACTGTGCATTGATCAACTCTGCTCTCTAGTGCACCGTGGAGATACATTACCGTTCTTGGCGAGCTTTTCAACTACTATGGCCTTCATACCAACACACACATAGACCGTCACTATAAGGCCAGCGGTGCAGGGGTTAACGCTGCTGAGAGCTTTTGCCCAGTGGATTGTTTATCGACTGAAAGAGAAGGTCTTCTTTCTCTGGGCCAGTTAAGTCAGCCTCCCTTTTGTTTGACGCTGCCCATTTGAGGAAAGCTTATCCCTGACCTTCTGCCGCCGAGACTGATGACAAGGACAACGCGCACTAACCTTGACATTCAGTGGGCTAAATGGCTTTTTCCACTAGCAGTCAGCAAACCAGAAGACAGCAGCAAGAGGCCAAAAACTAATGAATCTATACCAGAAAAAAAAAAAGTAGTATAGCCACATTCTTTAAAGGAGTAGTTTTTTTACAAAAGAAGTGACATGTATACGGTACGTGCATACGTCTCTGCGCAGTTAAGTGAGTCAGTACACGCCACTGGGGGGAAAAGTCTGTGGAAAAGTTAACAACGCCAGTGACTGTATTAGAGACAATGGGACATTTTCATAGAAATGTGACTGTATGGTACTTTTATACATTCAAAATGTGTGCTCCAATGCATTTAAATAAATTGGGCATTGCAGCATATGGAAACACATAACAGTTGTTAGTTCATGATTACAAAAAGAAGCATCAAAACGGTACCAAAATGACACAGATTAAAATATAGTATAATGACAAAGCGAATGAGAGATTGATAAAGCAATGACTAACAATGGTAAAACAATGGTTAACAACAAAACATATGGTAAAAAGTCCCTTATACTCACTCAGGCTGCATTTATTTGATCACGAATACTGTAAAAGTAGTAATATTGTGAAATATTATTACAAATTAAAATTTGCTATTTTAATATATTTACAATGTGTATATTTTGTAATTATTTTTGTTGATTTTTTGATGAATGCTTTGCTGAATAAAAAGTTCAAAAGACCAGCATTTATATGAAATATAATACTTTTGTAACGCCACTTTTGGCCAATTTAAACTGTTTGCTATTTTAATATATTTACAAAGTGTATATTTTGTAATTATTTTTGTTGATTTTTTGATGAATCCTGCTGAATAAAAAGTTCAAAAGAACAGCATTTATATGAAATATAATACTTTTGTAACGCCACTTTTGGCCAATTTAAATGCATCCTTTTAATGCATACTTGCTAAAAAAAAACAACTTTTGAACAATAGTGTAAATCAGTGAAACGAGCTTTTATGCTACTGTAAATGTAAGCAGGCATGATGTCAGTCAAAATAATGCATTATGGAACTGTATTATATAAGGTAGTTAGCTAAACAAACTGTAACCAAACCAGTGCCCATGTACACACAAACATGAGTCCATACACACACACACACACACACAAACAAACAAACAAACAAAGCAACAATTTCAGTATACACCCCGAACCCAAAGTCACAGGGAAATGCTGTCTCGGGGGGAGTTGGGGAAATGCTGTCTCGGGGGGAGTTTCCAGGAGAGCTCTGCTTTATGACTGCTGTTGTCAGAGCACTTAGCGCCATGTCCTTTGTTTCTAATGAGATAAGACAGTGTCAGATGGATACAGTACTAACCTTTCTGCTTGTTTACAGTGCAGAAGAACAGGATGGGGGGGTGACCTCTCTAAAGTTTATGGTCCAGCTTGCCAGACAGCTCTGTTTCTAATGAGAGGCCTTGTGGGAGCGTGTCACAGCGCCTCTGCTTGGCACACTGAGAGTGTTCACAAACAGGAGAGAGAGAGAGAGAGAGAGAGTTGGCTGTTTTGCTCTATAGGCAAACATTTATGATTTAAATCTTTATTTTGGGGGTGGTGTGTCAAATGAATGCAGTATTTTAGTCAAATTAATAATAAAAAAAAATGGCAAAAAATTGGCAAAAAAAAAAAAATCTTAATTTCATTCTTAATTATTTTTACCAGCATGGAAGTAGTTTATCCAACTACTTTTTAAGTTTGACACAACATCTATAAACAAGCCACTTATGGTGCAAGAAGCTTAAAAGTGAGACACATGTTTTATTCTTTATTAAATTCATCTGAGAATTCTGAGAATAAAAAAAAAAAATGTTTCTTGAGGAAATCATCACATTAATTTCTGGTGACACTGAAGACTGGTGTATCAAATGTGTGTGTGTGTGTGTGTTTTATTTGTATTCATATTTGTTATTAAACTTTCTCTATCCAAGGATTCTGCCAAAAAAACAAAAAAACAAAAAAAAAAAAAACCATAAATAAAACAAATAATCAATTTCCTGACCAAGGTCGCTCTACAGAGAAAATGTAACGTAATGAAAATAATCTAACGTGTTTAAATCAATATTTGTGAGTATTTGTTATTAATTTGATTAATGAATCATCATAACATTTGATTAATTAATCTTAGTATTTCAAGTAGATTTACAACCCTAAATGTGAAAAAAGAAACTTTTTTATTTTTATTTTTTTACCTTTACCCGTGAATAAAGATGTCAATAACTTCCAGATTAAAAAAAAAAAAAAAAAAAAAAAAAAAAAATTTTTTTTTAAGAAATTTGGAAATAACAAGACAACATAATCTGGTTTTGATACAGTGAGGTTTACTGTCACTACCACCCATGAAGGTGTCTGACCTTTGACCTTGGTGTATGTAGAAGGCTGATAGATAGAACAGAGATGAGCTTGTGCCGAGGCAAAAGAAGACAAGACTCTGGCAAGAGCAGAAGCAAACTGAAGCAAAATAAACACTCTCATATCCCTCTTCTCCTCTACTGTAACTTAATCAAGTTGCAGACAGTATGTGTATCTCTTTTTGGCAGTGTGTCTCTGTTCTATATCCGAGAGAGGCTGGGATGTCAGGGGCCAGTCTCCTCTCTTTATGAGGCCACGCTGCTACAGCCCTTCTGCACTCCAGCCCAACAGGACAGCTGCAGCACTCTCCCAAATACATCATCCTGTCCGCCAGCCGCTCCCAGGACACCCCCCCTCCAGTCCCGCTCGCCTCGCTCTCTTTCTCCTAGCACAAGGTGGGGGAAAGAGGGGGGCCAGATGTGTAGACAGAGAGTCCTTGTCCAGCAGAGGTCAATGGATCTAACAGAGCTACTTTCTGTAAGGAGCGCAAAGCCTTCTACTGCAGCTCTCCATCTCGCCACTGTCATGGGACGCCCGTGCGGAACGCTGAGTCAACCTTTCTACAGGCTGCGAAACAGTTTAGAGCGGTGGATGAAATTAAGATCACAACCTGCATCCTCCCTCGCTTGTCTCAAGGTTTTAAGGGTGGTTAACGCCAGACCCCAAGTCCACCTCCCCTGCCAAGGAGTTCTCACACTCCCCATTCTGGATGGGAATGACACATGTACGCCACTGCGGGAGAATCTGGAGTGCTTTATGCTTTCAAACACATTCTATCTGGCTGTTTCAAAGCTGCCGCTTTCAGTAATTTGTGGACGTGTGACAAGTGAAAGGGTTAAACAATCACCTTAATGTAATCTTGTTTACTGCTCTGCCGCATGAGTAAATTATTTAACACGGGCTCCGGCCCACTCAACATATAAAAGCTGCCTTATCACTGACACGGCCATTTGCCGTGGCTTTACTGTGCAAAAATTATGAGTCATACTTTTACAGGGCTCTCCAGTTTTGACGGCCTTTTTAATCCCTGAACTTTGCTGAACTGTACATTTCCTTAATTGCGACGCAGCTTGTAACCTCTGTAATTGGCCTCCTTCCTTTACCTCTTCTTTGAGATGTCTAGACAGAGAGGATATAAAAAAAAGTTGAGGTGAAATGCAAGAATAGAGATGGACGGAGCCAGGGAGGAAAAACAGAGAAGGATGGATTAAATTTAGAGAACACTTCACTCGCCCAAATATAATGAGCTCCTCGTAAGGTAGAGGTATAATTTTAAGGGATAAAGAGAAAGGCTTAGTGTGATTAGGCTCCTCCTACTTTAATGTGATTTGGTTGTTGACACCTGGATTACTCCTTGATTGATTTATCGACCTGGATAGTAAGATCCAACACTATCTCACGACCAATTCGTACGAATTCGACGCATGATTAAAAAGTGGCTAATTCGTACTAATTCGTACGACCTCACTCGTACTAATTCGTACGATTTGTCTTAACCCACGTGATGGTTAAGTTTAGGGGCGGGGTAAGGGGTAGGTCATTCGTACGAATTCATACGAATTGGCCAATTCGTAAAATATGTACGATTTAGCAAAATCGTATTAATTCGTACGAGTGAGGTCGTATGAATTGTTACGAATTAGCCACTTTTTAATCATTCGTCGAATTCGTACGACTTGGTCGTGAGATCGGGTTGTAAGATCCACTCATTGAAATCAAAAACGCCTGTTCAGTTTGTAGCCCTAAAATTGGGAAAAGAATTATGTTTATATGTTCTAATGCATGTTTAGAGTATCAATTTATGAGTAAAAAAAAACTGTGGTTAATAAATTATTAACAGTAATTTCTCAAATGTGAACAGGCTGATAAGGGGATAACGTTTTGGAATGGTTACCGATTCCAAGGGCCATGATCACAGAGGGGACCCGATCTGTATTTATTTACGTATTATGTAACAAATTATGTTATCAGAGTACAAAACATTAACAAAACAATAAAATCTGTATTTTACCAAAGGCAAATTATTTTACTCGCATACTGAAAATTTCAATTCTAAAATCCCATTACAAAATCCAGAGGGAACCAGTGGTGGATTAGCCCTCCAAGTTGGCCTACAAATTGACGTCATGACTGAACACCTTTAAAAGCTTAAATATTCATATACAATGCTTTTGGAATGGAAAATGTTACTTTTAACAGCTAAGTCAGCCTTAATGTAAGGCCCGATCAGGCTGTACTATATATATATATATATATATATATACAAAAAATAAAGAAAAAAAGACTAAAAATGCCAAATCATATGCTCTCAATCAAATACATTAGGTAAGTAGGGACATTCAAAATCAAATATCCTCAGTTTCTTTAAATGAAATAAAGCTCCACGTAGTCTCCTGATGTTTTTCTTTCTCTCTGGCAATGGCGTTTCTGCTAAGGGTTAGATGTGTATATGATATAAACCAGTGGCTGGGCCTGTTCTCTGACAAGGCCAGCAGTGTGTTTACCTAGTCATATTGAATCCACACACTGGCCAGGGAAGGGTCAGCAGGAGGCCAGCACATCCCACCCCACAGTCCTGCTATTCATCCCTGTCACTTACGGATAGGCCACACCCCTCACTCTGTCCTTCCTCTCTCTCTCCCAACTCTTTTATATGGAGATGGTAAGTAGAGGAATTTTTAAACTGAACACAACACTCCCAAGTTTAGACCACAAATAATACCAGTGATGAATTGAGTAATGAGTGAACAACCTAAACTTTCAAAATGTTTGTTCATATCACCAGACAGTGTGTGGACGATCTGTCTGTCTGTCTGTCTGTCTGTCCGTCCGTCCGTCCGTCCGTCAGTCCGTCCGTCCGTCCGTCCGATCAATTTGACTGTCACTCAGTGTAACACATTACTTCACACTACTATATACTACTATATACTACTATACTACTATATGAAGAGTTCAGATGCAAAAGCCTTTAAATGCCATTTGAAATTTTCTTCTAAAATGACCATTTTTATCAAGCTTGTATATTTAAGTTCAGTAATTTCACTTAAATGACAATTAATAGGTAATCTTCATTGCCATTTAAGTTAAATTACTGAACTTAAATATACAAGCTTGATAAAAATGATCATTTTAGAAGAAAATTTCAAATGGCACTTAGAGGCTTTTGCATCTGAACTCTTCATATATATATATATATATATATATATATATATATATATATATATATGTGTTTATGCATGTACTTCAATTACAGCAACAATATTAATACTAACAATGACAATTATATATATATACACACACAAACAAAAATAACAACATCGATTTTAATAGTGGAGATAATAATTATTATAAATTATTTATTTCTGGTATTTTTGGTTTAGTTTAAAATTGTCTCCATAAATCAGTATTCGCTCTCAGTTTAGTGTAGTTTCATACTGTCCGTTACTCTTATGACTACCTAAACAGTAAATAACCCTCTCTTTGCATGTTTAAATCAGAAGCCTGAACCTGGCAGCCCCCGGTGCACATTAATGGCCTTTCTTCAAGTCCTGTCTCTTTGACAATAGAGCATCACTGAAACGCCTGTCGTCCAAACAAAGAGCCTTCTCTCCTAGACACCGGGGTCATGCTCTGTAGTGATGAACCTCGCTGTCACGTGAATACAATGTGATTCCCCCATGTGAATAACAGAATACCAGAGAAAGACAAAGGGAAAGAGAGAGCTGGATGTGTGATGCTATTTTGTGTCGCTGTCATGACTATGGATCAAAAGAGCATATCTGCGGAATTATAACACTGCATTGTACTAGAATGCTGTCATTATAATCAGCAAAGTTGTCTACACTGAAAGCAAGTGAACAGCCAGCATTGTTTATTATAATGGGGGCACTCTAGTTTGTCTCGCTTGCAGTGTAGCTGGGGTGTACGCGGTGAGAACTCTGCATGTCCTTGGTCCTGTGCTGTCTCTGGCTGAGATTTATGATCGTCTGGTCTGCTGCTGCATGCACTTGGTTCTGATAATTAAAGGGGTCGTTATTAGTTAGCCGCGTATGCAGAGCAGGGCAGCGTGAAAGGTCAGGAGGAGGCACCGAGAACCACAGCCATTCCTCACCTCTCCCAGTAGAAACGCGGTCACCTCACCCATAAAATATGTAACAATTTAACTCTCTCTTCTGCCAGTTGAAACTGCACAAGTGTTTAAGGAAATCATTGTTTCAGTACAGTAAAAATAATTAAATATATAAATAAGCAAACAAACAAAAACATAAATGCAAAATTGGTCAAATTTGAAGTAATGTTATGATGCCTGGTTGGTGTGATGTTACAGGAAAAAAAAAATATATATAAAAACAAATTAATAGACTTAATTAACAATTTTAATTTATATTTTAGCAAGTATATGCATAAAATTGTATGACCAAACAATTATCACAGAAAGCTCTCTCTATTAAATTATTTGAATACTCTATACTATATATTTATATTCTTTTTTTTCATGGGAAATTGTTGTTCTGCTCCGTTCTGCTCAACCTAACACAAGAATGTGGGCCTTTTAATCTCCGTTAAACTTTCTCACAGACAAAATCAAAATCACAATGACACAATTTGCCCATTGTCATTTGTTTTGCCAGTTGTCACTGGCAAAAAAAAAACAAAAGCATGTAATATTGGAAAAATCCATCAAGCCATGAATATAGCATGAAGAGCCAGCATATTTTCTATATGCATTATCTATGACACAAAGGCTGCAAGGAGATGCAACCCCAGGGCTCTGAGATTCCTCTCTCTCCATCCAGCCGGCAGCAGAACCCAACCCTCTGCCCGCCAGCCCGCACACAATCATAATCACCATAATAACAATAATAATAAAGTAAAGGCATACCGGGCTGGCAGCAGTCTTAGCACACCTCAATCAAATTACACGGATGCACGAGGAACATGTCACCCTTGGATTTTTCATTTGCATAAAACAATTACCCCACGGACAGTGGGTTCAATGTCGTCTAGACTACATGCTTCAGATGGTGTCATCAGCCCCAGACACAGTAGACTGCCTATAAATTAGCAATGAGCTGAGCATAGCCAAGATGCATTATAGCGCTTATAAACCCTGAGAATTTATTTAAATAGATAACACATATGCAAATCTCCCTGGCTGGCATGGCAACGATCTTGATAGTGGGGCTCCATATGTGCGAAGAGGGCAGCTGGGAGCGGTAGGCTAAAATGAACCCTGACACCTTATTAGTGTATACACTGGACACTCATTAACTTCCACTGACCTGACCCGGCAAAGCTCTGCCTTCTTTAAAACCATAACATGCTGGTATGAAAGCAATACCAGCGTTTTCTTGAAAACGCTTCCCTTACAACCGCTTTCACTGCTGAGTGATCGAGGCCTTGAAGCTGCGTTCTCACTGGAACAGCATGCAGTACTGACAGCGAAAGTGATAAAACATGGAAACAATTGATTTAGCAGAACAGACATGCTGCTGCTGTACAATAAAGCGTATATGAATTAGCCTACAGGTTAAGCAGCAAGATCACTGGCTAATGATAAAGCAGGAACCAATCAGCTGTGCCCTAAAGAGAATTACATGATAGCAAGCATTTGAGTTAAGGACCTATAAGCCTGTGCCATCTAGAGTTTCATTTACAGAACAATGACTACATTTACATGCAGCCAATAACCCGTTCAAAACCGGCAATGTAAACACCGGCAAAAACCCGAATATGCTCATATACCGGATTTTAAAAACCGGGATATTATACCTGGGGTACCCCTTTTCTAACCCGAATTTTTCGTCATGTTAACGCGTATCGACATATCCCCATAGTGATTTGTGTTCTGCGCATGTTCTATTCGCAAGGAATCATGGTATTTTGAGTAGAAAAACTTCTCTGCGCATACAAAAATTTTCTGCACCTCCCCGAACAAACACTCACCACTATCACGATTCCCTTAATCAATACACAGTATGTAGAGGTTGAAAAAGAGAGATTGGAGAAATCATATGGGAGAAAAAGCTAGTATAACAGAATTTTCCTTTCATCATTTATATAATCAGTTGTTTATATTTATTTCTTTATATATGTGTAATGGAATGAGCCGTAGTTTTCTAAACAGTGCATTTGGTGTAATTGTTTATTAAGATCTGCAGGTCATTTCTAGAGCTCTGTGTCAGGATGTGTGTTTGTTTATTTGACCTTTTGGCCTCTTTATGTTATTGCAGGGAAAAACGACATAGACATATTTGTCTTGCGGTCCACACAAAAGAGAATAGGCCCACTTACCCTTCCATTACTCCACTAAAAAGTGATGTACCAGTCCATTAAAACAACTCTGCGTCTTTGTTTTTCATTCTCTCTCGTCCCTTTTTAGCAAAGTGCACGTGAAGCATCTGTGAACAATGCTTTCTTGAGCTTGTAAATGTCATTAGCAACGATTTGTGGATTTTTTTTTTTTTTTTTAGCATTTCTCAGAGCACCTCATAAACCACCCTCCACCTCTCCTCCCAAACTCCTCCGGCCCCCATCCCTGCCGGTTGTCCTCAAAGAAGTTGAGCGTTACATCCGCCATCCAGAGATTTTACAGTGGATTCTTTATCAGTATAAACATAGCAGGTAATGGTGGCTGTTTATTGTATGACATGCCCCCATGCTAACGTTTATGTCTTTATTGCTCACATACCAGTTGCCTTGTTTATGTGTCTGTGTTCCCAGCCATTGCCCTTGAACTTAACTCGCTGTCACCCTTGCCAGTTCCCCCACCCCCCTCTATGGGCTCCATCCGTAAGCCTTCCTTCCCCAAATCTCTCAACCCCCTATCTTTTAGGGAGAGAGAGATAAGTGGTGCAGTGCAAATTTTGGGAGCTCCCGTGATCTATAAGAGGAAGTCCAACTTATGTTGTGATGTAATGCATAGGCATTTGTATCAGGGTGATATAGTATCACAGATGCAGACAGAGAGTGAAATTATTTATGATATTCTACAGTCATAATAAAAAAAAATAGTTATTATAGTTATATTATAGACATAAAAGGTATAGGGAAGCAATTCTATGATTGTATAATAAAAATCATCTTAAAAGTTTCCTCTGGATCACCAGAATACAGCCAATTGATTGTTCTTAAATGACTGATTTGTCTTTGCTTCTCTCTCATACAGATTGTTGAAAAATCTTTTAGAAATTTAGACTGTTTTAAAATTTATTTATATATATATATATATATATATATATATATATATATATGGACAGATTCGCAAAATTAACTTATTTTAGAATCTGCTAAGGAGTTTTTGTAATATTTATTACATTTAAATATCCAGTAATAATCCATAAATTACGTTATAGGTTGACAATATACAACGTTTAACTACTTCCAATCATGGCTAACTTGAATCTTAGAAAGCCACAGTTTCAAATTATTTTCTTCAACACTGAACCTTTCATATAGCTTTCATGCCAAGTAAAATCTCTCTTGATAGGCAAATTTAACCATGACACAATGGGCTCAGAATACTGTGAAGAGGCCTCCACATAGGGTTTGGGGACCGTGGGGCTGTCCAGTACAACAGAAAGACAGAAGCATCTAATGTCTAGGAGGTAGGAGGGTAATTAATACAAAAATGGGGAGTTATGTCCTGAATATTCCAGTAGAGTGACAAGAAGCTTTTGGTCACATGAAAAAAAAGAAACAAGCAGGAAAAGGGGGCAGTAAGAAAGAGAGAGAAACAGAATAACGTGACATCCCCCGGCCAGAGCTTGAGGATTAACGATGAAAAGAAACAAAAGGACAACAGTAAACAAAAGAGTGGAGGCTAAAGAGGGCTTCCCTGATTTCTCTTCCCTCTCAAGGAGTGAGAGAGGAAGACAGACGGAGGGAATGAGCAAGAGTGGAGCTCCTCTTTTGGGACGGACACGTATGGATCTATATGCATGCATACAGTGGCCTGGTATTGTGAATCAAGCAGAGCTAAATCAATGTCAGAGCTCAATCAATATTTAGTCCCATGTGTTCCTCATTGCTCTCCTGCACTTGGCCTCACCTTCCCCATGCTAACATCACCAGGACTTTCTCATGTGGGTCAATACACACCAACGAGCCAAGGCCGAGCAGTAAATCCATTAACCTGCTGTGTTTTAGTTAGAAAGGGGAGAAACAAACTTCAGAGAGGTATAAACAAGGACAAGAAGAATGAATCAAGTCCAAACAGACTGTGCAGGTGTTGAATTTCAGTAAACACTGCAGATAGAGGGGAGACTTTCTGTTAGGGAGTCATATGTTGGCACCTACTGTAGAGCAGGAACTCTGGACACTGTCTGCTGGTTTGGTCTGGGGGTTGTGCGAATTTAGATGTGTGGTATTAGGGAGTTGTTACCGCTACCCTTTAAAGTTATCTATGTTTATCAGCAGCATATGGGTTGGCCTGTCTCTCTTGCCTTGGGCTGTAGACACAACAACACTGCTTGTTAGTGACATCTGCTGGGAAGAGCTGGCTCTCTTGTCTTTCAACCCTTACTGAAGTGAGTCCAGCCCCTGTCAACGTACCCTCAACTCCCCCCAACTTCCCACCCCCATTTGTCCCTTACCTGGCGATGTGTAGACGCTCAGTCCTGCATGCATGCACACAATGTCCTCTTTGCCTTGTTCTGTAACCTGCCCCCCTGTCCTGTCTCCAAATCTCGTACTGGGGTAAGGTGTCTGCATTCCTGGGACTTTCCCTTCTGTCCAGTCCAGACCTGTCTGATTCAGAAACAGTGTTAATACACACGACTATGCAAGAAGCCTAATCATGCACCTCATCTTGATTAATCGTGATCTTAAGAAGCACCAAAATATTGTGTCATGTTTGAAGAACTCTATTTGTCTATGAAACAAACCCACTCACAATCTAATTTTTCACTTCCTATTTCCTAAACCTTGTTGTTGACAATATGTTAGCTTCTTCGCTACACCTCCCACTGGATGCTAAATAAATTGTCATTATTTGATAGCAGCCTGTCCTCTGCAGTCATCTGAAAGGCAGCAGTCATGTCACTCAAACTGTCACTGCCATTGTTTCAGGTCATAAAAAAACATGAATCAAACTCATCATTCACCAGGACAGTCAAACCTCAGCTCTAACAGTCACACAAGTGTAGTCATAATAGAGTAAAGACTCTATAGAAGAGTAAAAAATCTTTTGTAATTTTTGTCTATAAGTAGTCTCACACGTAAGGTCTTGTCCATTGTAGATTATTCTGGCCAGGAAGGTCCTACGTAGACAGATAGAATGACATGAACGATAGCCAACCATGGTTTTGTTTTTATATGCCATTTTGGATAAATCTGAAACAGATGGAAGGACGGTAACCAGGGTATTGTACAAAAGGTTCTTGAACAGAAGAAATGTATGTAAACTGTGATCAGAGTCCCTCCATCCAGAAGTATTAAGTACTGATTATTTCACAGATGTAATAGAAAAGACCATACAGATTTTTGCTGGATTTCTAGCTTGCTAGTAATCAAACATCCTGACTCCCAGAATTGCTGTCTATGTCCAGTGAATGGGTTATGAATCGTCTTAGGGCAGGGGTGTCAAAAATGTTCGATTGCAAGAGGGTTTAATTGGGGTTGAAGCTAAACTCTGCAGGAGGGTGGCCGATTGGAAATCCCAGTTTTAGGCTTTGCTTGATATTTTATTGAATACCACATCACATTCAGAAATCTGAAACATCTCAGAAATAATCATTACATTTTACAGTTCCGCTTGATCACCAAATGGCTGCAAATGTTAATCTGTCTTAATCAACAATTTTTTCTTAAGGGACAATCAATAATTGTTTAGTTATTTTATCCCCAAAAACATGGTGGGCAACCTCAATTGACTCTTCTGTTTTTATTTTTTATTTATCTGATCTAATCATGATTTCTCTCCCTTAACATGAACCCAACCCTAACACAAAGGAATTGCATTTTTAGATTTTCATTGAGACATTATTTAGAATGTGTTGAATACTTGGTCCACTCAATGTCTGCAAAACGCATACACATTCGCAGATGAGGATGTTGATGCCGACTGAGCTGAAGGCCAGTGGCCCGAAGGAGACGTGGTCATCATTGGACTTCTCTCTGACCCATCTGAGTCATTAAAGCTCAAATGAGATACATGACAAAGACCTGCCATTTTATAAACACTCATGCTAGCCTTCAGCTAACTGCACCAAGACAGATACCTGCCTAATGTCTGCAACACGAGACAAGGGTAAACAGGGACACACACACATTCACTGACTTAAATGCATACAACATATCACAGAGCTATGAGCTGGGATATACGAGGAGGTCAGTGGATGGAACAGTCTAATAAAGGCCATTAAGTCAATGTTGTTTCTTTCCTAAAGTTCAGCACAGCTTAGTTAGGCAGACTGTCCCCTTCAGCGTCCATCTTGACAGTCCTGTCTCTATGCCATCCTGCCCTCATGTCACAACACATTTAGGAATCAGTTCTGTGTGAGGTGGGGGTGTGTGAGGGCAATCAAGACAGACGGATGCAGCGGCCGGGTGGCGATGGGCGTGTGTGTGTTGGTGCCACCGCTGTGGCCCTGCCTCTCTGTGGCTACCCTTCTCCACTGCGAGCAGCCCTCCAGCCATGGATTTGATCTTTGCAAAGGCTAACATCTGTCGGCTGTCATTTTAGAGAGATTGATGACAGGCCAGGGAATGGAATGGAGGGAGGGAAGGATGGATGGATGGGGAAGGAGGAGGAGAGAGGGGTGAAGGGGGTGAAAGTGAAGGGCTAGAAGGATAAATGGCGACTGTGCCAGTTTAGGGCTGATGTTGGGAGGATGTCTCATTTTCAAAAGATAGATAGAACGTGAGTGCAACAGTCTTAAAGGACTGCTTAGGAGTCTGCTTATCAAGAACGGAAAATCATATACATTCCTGTAACTATGTCTACCAACTACAGTTGGCTTAAATGGGTTATGCTTTGCAGTGTGATATTGACTGATTGACATAGTGTACTGTCACAAGTGTTTCAAAGCAGCGAGATGGCATTGACAATCTCAACATTTGCTAAAATTACATTTTACATATCGTATTCTGTCAGCTGTTCAGAGTAACTACGATAAGACTAGTGATGATTCATGAATGAATCTTTTTTTGTTTAGCATTAACCGTTCACAATTCTGAAAACGGTTCACAATTTAGTCATCATCTGGGCAGCTCACTCACACACTGAATTTGTCGTCATTTTTTTCTCACTTCGTAAACAGTAACGGAATAATTTACAACAAGCTCATTCGAGTCAGACTCTGGAGCATGTCTCGACTCAAACTCGAGTCTCTTCTGCTCTCTGGTCTCGAATACTACACTACTTCATAACAAGCGGATGTGGATGTGGAATCAAATGTGGATTTTTTTTAAAAAGTACCATTTCTTGCAGAGGTACTTTCGTAGCACCATGATATTACTTGGAGTACTTTGGTTAAATACAAATATTGTAAATGTCGAAAGCTACTTTTGACATACAGCATAGCTATTTTCTCTTTAGGGTAACTTTCAGCTGAGCAAGCTACACTAGTTCTACATTCTGCTAATACCACACTAGGACACATAATTCAAGTAGTATTAGGCAACTCCAAGTCTTCCCAAGACAAATGGAATATATGTATGTCTGTAAATGAATTTTCATAAATAATCCACCATAGTGTCTGTGTGTGTGTGTGTGTGCGCGCACCTGCACAGAAATATGAAGTGGACTCTAACCCTTTGCACATGTTAATTCACCATCAGGCAGATCCCTCACTACTTTCTGTCTTCTGTTTACGAGTTAATGGAATTGGGGTCAAGAGAATATGTGTAAAATTCAGTATATCTTTGCTCTTCACATTTATAAAGCAGATAATTGTTTAAAACACCCTGGCTTTCTGTCTACAGTTCACTAATGGAAAGCTGATATGTTTTTATGTATGATATAATGAAAGCATTTTAATCATGTTTGTTAGAAATAGGAACACAAAAACAGTTCAGACATTTCCAGATAAGCAGTGGAGAAATATTTGAATATTTTACTTTACTTCATTTACTTAGCTCCTCCTTAGTACTATTTATTTATTCATTAAGTTAAACTCTACACTCACCCCTGTAATGGTCAAACACTTCAATGCATTGGATTATTGTTGTTGCATTCAATTATTATTATCCTGTATGTGAAAATCCTGTAAGTTTTCTGTTTTGTGGATGAATGGGGAGCGGAATGTCTTCATGGCAAACAGAAAAGATCAAGTCATTTCAATAGCTCCAAAGATAAGGCTTCTATCACATACGTTCCTCTTGACGTGTTGCTACACAATACAAAGTGCTACACAATACAAAGTGCTGCACAAAGTGCTTTTTTTTTTGAAAATGGGCTCATTTTACCACTCCCCCAGAGTTAAACAGTTGAGTTTTACCCTTTTTAAATACATTCAGTCGATTTTCTGATATTTAGACGAATATCAGTAACCAGACAGTTTCTGGTCTCATTGACTTCAATTGACTTCTGAGAAGTCAATGAGACCAGAAACTGTCTGTTTACTGATATTCTTCTTCTAAAAAAAATAAATAAATAAATAAATTAAAAAAAAAAAAAAATCAACTGAATACGTTCAAAAACGGTAAAACCTAACTTTTTGACTCTAGGGGAGTGGTAAAATGCATATTTACAAAAAAGTGGAGTATCTCTTTAAAAGCTACACTGTAAGCTTTGCAACCTGTAAAGTAGTTTGGATTAGATAAGTGCATTCATCCAAAAGTCTACTGACTGAATGCCATAAAAAAAGATCCTCCTTCTAATAAATCAATCAATAATGTATGTATTTGTCAGAGCACACACCACAATTTAATGTCTAACATTTGCACCATTCATTGTCCTGCATCTCACTCTTGACATCAATATTAAAGGTGCTCTTTTCTTTCATCATGTGAATAATAGAGTAGAAGAGAATGCATCTTTGTCCTCCTTGTATATAATAGGAGATAGTCAGAAAAAAATGCAAAAGGATGTTATGCAAATGTGCTTTTGAAGTCGAGCGTAGCATCTTGTCATGACACTGTCTATATTTAAAGCAGGTCACCTTAAACCCACCCCTGCTGCCTCATGACAGTGACATCTGGATGCAGTGCTCGCACACACACACACAAAGCCACCTCTGCTGTCACCGACTGAATCTGAGAGAGAATGTTTATGCAGATGATAATGCACACCGCAGTTAATACGCCATCATTCCAAAGCAGAAAACAGAGATTCAGTCACCCAACAGGCCACCAAGAGGCTCTCCATCCCGCAGAACACACACCCTACTAGATTTCAGCATGTCTAACATTTTACATGGTAAAGATTCTGATTATGCATGCATATCAGTATCTGCTAGGGAGTGCGTGTGCATGAGAGCAGGAGCGGTAGAGAGAAAGAGAGGGTAGGAAAATAAAGAAGGACAGGTTGTGTGTGAGGGATAAGACGACTGACCACAGCTTGCTCCCTCCCCCATCCGCCAGCCAGCAAGGCCAAATTTCAATAATTTCATCAGTTCATTTGCCTCTTAGAAATGCCGGGAGCCTTTTTCCATCTCCTTCCTGCGTTCTCACTCTCGCCTTGACCTAGATTCGTGCGGGGAAAGTGACATGTCTGCCTGGCCAGAGAGCGGCCGGCCGCGCTCCGCAGCTCAAGTGCCTATAAAAAATGACTCCCTATCTCCAAATAAGAATAATGAAAAGCAGTG